AAGATGAAAGGGGATACTTTCCAATGTTATGTCAATATGTTGATTTTTGCTCAAGTTCAGTGTGTAAAATGTACAAGCACGTATTTCTGTTCCAAGTTAGATGGACTAGAGTTTGAACACTGCTCTTCCAGACTTTCCACTGTGAACCATCAGTGTCTGTTAATGGAAAACAATGAATGATAGGCTCTACCCCAAACGTTCCTCACTGAGGCAAGGTTCCAACATCTGTGCAACTACTCTTGCTTCAGATTTCATAAAGCCACATGCTTGATGGCTCTTGTTTCTTGGCCTGTCCTTGATCCTAGTGGTCTTCTCCAGGCTAAGCAACCCAGAGGAGGAGGGGATCCACTTGGGAATCACTTCCTGGATGATCCCATCAGGGCTCTGTCCTTCCAGGAGACTGTCTGTCTGCAAAACTTGCAGGATGTTCCTGATGTTTCAGCATCACAGTTGCTTGTTGAAGCTGGACAAAATTTCACTGGTTCCCACACCAAATTTTGCCTCACTTCAGGGCTGTTTTCCTAATCCACCAACCTAGACCTGCTGGAGGAGAGGTACCACGTTTAATTTCCCCGTTCATCTCCAGATCAACAGTTTCCATCTTTCAGTTCTTCAGATTATTCAGGCACAGTTATTGGGCTTGCCGAAACTCCAGACCTCTGGAGAACTGCACCTCCATGTTTGAGACCTATTAAGAAGAGTCCAGGCACCTGCTCACCTGGCAGCTTCATCCATTCCTTGTCATGGTGGCTGTTGGAAATATAATCTCCTAGATGTTGAAATTCCTTTTCGGAACCCTCTGTGATGAGGGGTAGCAAAAGTCTAAATTCCTTATAGACTGTTACCATGTTTCCTTCTCATCAGTTAGTCATTCATACCCGAGCTACATATGTCACTTTTAAAATCTTTCCGTGTATATCAGTCCCTCTAGCCTCCAGTATTTTGTTATAGTTCTTACCAGAGCTTCCTCCAATTTCTCAACATCATCTTGCTATGTTCAAAAAACGGTTATATCTATGTCCTATAGAGACCGTTAACTCCCTGCTCCACGATTGGCCTACCCATGTATGCAGCCCAGACTTGCATTGGCTTTTTTTTTTTTTTGTTCGTTTGTTTTTGTTTCCTTATTGCACTGCATGCATTTCTTATTTACTGTCCACTGTTATTAAAAAGCCAGTGCAAGTGTCATTTGGTGTCATTGTTTTCCAGGTACCTCCTGTCCACTGAATATCTTTGTTCTATGTGCATGGGGGTTTTTTCCCCCAGGCTGAATCTTCTTTTAAAAAAAAAAAAAAAATCCTGTTTTCTGCCTGTTTTAAATTAGTCCTTTAGTATTTCTCTTGCAGCTGGTGTTGTGCTGCTACATACAACATGATACCTGCTGGAACATTCATACCTACATACAGAGTCAGAACGGCAATCTCAGAAATTGTAATAAATTTCTCCTGGACATCATTAGGGATCACTTTATTATAATATCCATATCAACACAGTGGGCAGAGAGACTCCCAAGAATGGTCCTTGCTTCAGCCATTCACAACGTGGATGTATTGCTGCTTTTGGTCACTGGGACCTGTACATTGCTGTTGCTTGTTACCTTATCTTTCCCCAGTTCTAATTTTTTTTTCTCCTTCCTGCTTGCTGATTCCCAGTAGTCATCCACACTGATGGAATATCAGTGCATGAAAATGAGACCACTTCCTTTCCTATCTGCAAATACTCATTTTGCTAATACACTTCTAATATGCTCAACCCCCATACTGAAGATCCTCCCTAAAAAGTGAACATTCTTGTTTGTTGTTCAGCTTCAAACCTTGGACTCTCCTCTGGGAAAGGGAAATTCCTGTCCCTGTTCCCCAGTCCTCTTAAAGCAGTGTCCAAAAATATTCAGCCAGAGCTGGTGTAGCTTAATCTTTTAAGGACGAGATTCGCTCTGTAACCAGCAAAAGTGGTTTCAGGAGGTAGTAATTAGACTAATTTACCTTTGAAGAAGAACATTTGGCCCATTTTTCACATTTATGTATTAAAACGTCACAACACAGCTATTAAGAACTAATCGGTGCAGAGCACTAACCTTGCTTTCACTAGCCTCCATGCCACTTGGTCCTGTGATGCTCTAAGAAGTCTTATTCTTTCAAACGTAGCATCCCCTTTCCTCTCATTCTGTATCTTTCATGTTCATCCCACTTTCCATTGCCTGCCCCCCTCGCTCACTTCCTGGTACACCCTGTCTTCTGTTGGTCTTGTGCTGTTTAGCCCCTTTTGTCACCCATATTCTATTTTTTTTCTCACCCTGGATCCCAGTGTCTCCCTGCTTACTTCTCCCTCCTTTTCCTTCTCTTCCTCTCTTCCAGGGACAGAAGAGGAGCTGCTGCTGTCTAGAGCTGTGGCGGTGTAGCCTTCTATCTTTGGGGAGGAGGTGCTGCTGCTGAGAGGAGGAGGATAGTGTTGCATCTCTTTGTGCTCTGCACCCCCTCCCCCCATACCTGCTTCCTGCCACAGAGCAGCTCTTCCCCTCTCTCCTGCCCCTCACCCTCTGTAACTAGAGGACAGTTTAGCAGAGGAGCTGCCTCACCTACCTGCAGAGAGTTCACAGGAGCCCAACTGAGCCTCTTCTCCTCTCATCCCCCCTCCTCCCCCCAATGAATCAGTCCATGGACCCCCTCAAAATCTAGGAGCCCACAGGCTTCAGAGGCCCTGATAGCTAGCCCCTGAACAGCTGCTAAGATAATAATTCCAGGATGGTTTAAGTCTATTGTCTTGGGCTTTGCAGGGTTTTGTAACATATACACTACATCCCCTCCCTCACTCCACACCCTGTGGGAGATCCCTGTGTTTCATGGGAGTATATACTAGAGGGCTGTGGGACTAGTTGCTATTTTGATCTTGAATTCCTGGCTTGTCACCTCGAAATCTTTGTATATGGTTAAAATACAAAGGGCTTGTTTGCTTTAGTAGTTTATTATACTTACTCTGTTGTATAAGTTTAAACTATGCACGTACAGAGCTGAGGGCATAATTTGGCTTGCAGAACAATTATTACTGAGGTGATGTGGGAAGGAAAGAATCTCAGCTGAGTTTGCTGAGCTGGTAGTTAGAAAAGCATAAATTTATTGACTTGAAACTAAACAGACTTGATCTGGAGTTAGTGATAGACAATAAACATGAGTCCGAACTGCCTTTAGTTTTACATTGTCACTTTTCTGAGTGAGAACACACTTTTGAATCTCACTTTGATTTAAATATGAAGTACATTGAAGTACAACTTGCAGTAATATCTGCAAAGGAATGTCAGTTCTTGTTACTCAACAGAAATACTTACAGCTGGAACTTTTTGCAGAGGCAGATGAGAAACTGGCTGTTTAACTGCTCATTGCCAGCTTTGACTTGCAATATTTTTTGTGGATAAAACTCGACTGAAGAGAGAACTTGAGAGAGGGAGTGACTTTATATATTTCTGTTGTGTGGGACCATGCGTATGGACCTCATTAGGCTGGCAGCCTTCTGCGCTTGTTGGGGGTGAAAGGATGAATTTGAGACACAAGAATAGACTAGATACAAGCTTCCTTTATATATTACTGTTGGATTTTTTTTAACATTGAAAATATTGGAGACAGAGTCTCTCAACAAGCATTATTAAGTACTTGCCCCAAAACATTCACATTGCATATCTGCAGTTCTGTTGATGGGCTTCTCATGATATCCACAAGCTGGAAAGTAATTCTCCTGAAAGTGTTCGAACCTATCTATGTTCTTGGCACGCTGACTTGGAGCTCAGATGTCAAACAGACTGTTTTTTGTTTGTTTTGTTTTTTAATTTTCAGATCACAACTTTCTTATTAAGACAGTCCAATGTGTGGACAGTCACTATAACTACATAGAACTTTTCCTGGCCATCGAGTAATTTACTTAAATATTTGAACTAATATGGCCGGCTGGGGGAGAAAAAAATAGTATGGAAGCCTTGAAAATTTGGATTTTAAATGCACACAAGCCTCAAAGTAGGGATAGAAAGTTGCTCTACTACTTTGATGCTTCATTGCGGGTGTAACTATTTGTAGGTGGTCTGTATGATGCTCCTTTTTCTAAAAACACAAATTCCCAGACACGTCTCCCTACAACAATTAACATATTAGCAATGCTGCTTGCTTTTGAATGACAAACTTCATTTTTTCCTGAGGTACGTGTTCTAAAACTTGCACTTGAGACTACAGTGCTTCCTCTTGGTAAGCAAATTTTGAGGTTGTCACTAATGCTATTTGCATTAAATAAACATATTACACAGTTTTTCCATTAAAAAAATTGCCAGGTATGCATATAAATGTAAAACATGTTTAATTTCTATGTTAAAGTGTCTGTTACAACAATCTCTGGAAAATTTTGCTTACTCTGCATAAGCAATTTTCATTTCTCTCTAGTGATTACACTTAGCTTTTAAGCTAATCATGACTTTAGAGTGTGTGTGTGTGTGTGTGTGTGTGTGTGTGTGTGTGTTGCCATATCAGATGAGACACTGCATCTACTGTGCTAGCTTATACAGTGGCCTATACCAAAGTCTTCAGAGGAAGCAAAAATAAATACAGCACAGTGCCCCTAGCCTGGGAAACAGGGAAAAATCTCCTGTGCTCCTTGCAGTGCTCAGATAACTCACTATGGCATATTTGATTTATCTCTATTTGAGTTTTGAAATTAAGGGGAAAAACAAGCCTAGATATGTTGACATATTGTATTTAATGGAAAAAAGTGAACTTTAAATCTAGTCTGTTTTTAAAAAAAAAAAAAGAGTGAAAAGTGGCATCATATACTCCACCTATCTAAGTACTCTGCCAACATATGTGGATTTAGAATCCGTGTTATTTCTTTTTAAAAACACTTTCCCCTCCCATACTGCTACATATGAAAGACCCACATCATCGGGAAGAACTGACTAACTATACAGGGAAAATGGTGAAGCTGACTATACACAAAGTAAACCAAATTCAGATATTGTGTTATTCTAGGTTGATTGTCTCCCTTTAAACACATGTAATAGCGAAGTTATTCCTTATTTACAAAGCAATGCATGGCTAAGTATGGAAAGCTTGTCTTGTACTGGTTTACCACTTCGAGCTGAAAATGAGATTTGTAGCCAATTCCGTAGGTGGGTGTAAATCACTGTTTCCTCCCTCTCGTAGCACCAATGAGGTTGATGCTGTATCCAACTTCTTCAGGAGTTTTGAGCACCCCAAGCTTCCATTGGCTTCGGCTGTAATTGTTAGCGTACACCACCTCTGGAAAATGTCAGCTGGTGTTCAGGGATCAGAATTCAAGAATCAAAATCTGACTCAGTCGTTTGCTGGCAACACACATGTTGCTCTGTAGCAATGCCTCTGGCTGTTTCAGAGATGATATTCACAGACTGGGGATGAACCTGCATTCAGACCTCATTGGCCTGAGGGTTGTGATAAGTAGGGCTGGGAAACAAAAGTTTGGGGATGGGAAAGAGGTTCCTTATATGCACAGAGGCTCCAAAGAGGACCTTATATGCACAGTCTCTGTGCCTGGTAATAGTTTCTTGTAAGAGTGAATGTAAATCAGTGCTTGTGCATAGGGGGAAAAGCAAACAGCCCAGCATAAATAGATGATGTGGTTTTAAAGTGGCTGCAGGTTTTTCCCTCCTCATAATATCCGAACTTAATTTGTTTTCTTTCTGTAAATTAAAAGTCTCAGATGGAGCAGGAGATTCCCTCATGTCTACCTGTCAGAGGCAGGTTAGAATTGGGTAGGCATATAGATGACCTTCCCTAAAGTAAGAGTGTGTGTGTGTGTGTGTGTGTGTGTGTGTGTGGAGGTATCTACACTTTCTTCTGTAACTTTGCAAATTAAAATATACTCTAGCTAGAAATTGTGCGAACATATTATGTGCAACTCTTGCAATCACAAATGCCAATTTTATATATTGGAATCCAGGAAGTGTAATTAGATTGACATTACAATGGTAAAACCTATAAAATCAGGTAGCACTGAACTAAGTTAAAGTACATGTGAAGCCCAAGGAGAGGCTAAGATGAATGTAATTGAAATGGTCCAAATAAGTATTTAAAACCACCTCTAAGGATTGTTGCAATTTCTGAATTTCATATTGGCATTTTATATTTGACAAGGTGACATTGTGTAAGAAATGTATTGTAAAACTCTGCTGTACTGTAGGAAAATGATTGAATGTAAATATTTCAAGATGTGGGCCACCATTCAAATGTTCCCATAAATCTTTGCCATTGTTTTAGGGGATAATTCTTCATGCATGTTTGAGTTGAATTGATAGATCCAGCCCCTGGAAGGGTAATCTTCTGCTTGTTATTGCTTCACTATAACTTTGAGTGGTAGATGTGTTTCATGTATTCACCTCCACCTATCCAATATGATTTTTTTTCATTACTAGCCGGTAACTACAATCCTGAATGGGACTATATTTTTACTTTCAAATTAACGTGGTGTGTGTTGACAGTATTGTCTCTTCTTGAAACTAGATTAGGAAATTTATTTGTCAAGGTTTGAAAAAACATAGAACAAATCAATTCTTTCAACTTAACATTTTCTCTCTTCACATTTCTTGCAGGTTTGGTAGGTTTACGGCAGCTGCGCTTCAGTCCAAAGTAGAGCAGTGTGAACGTGAAACGAACCGTCTGAAAAAAGCACTGGAAAGAAGTGACAAGTACATAGAAGAACTGGAGGGTCAGCTTACGCAGCTGAAAGGATCAAGTGGAGAAACCCAAAATGTGAGTACTGTTAGTGAGAGAGCACTTTTCACAGATAATAAAGGAAGTGAAAGCAGTGAAGAAGACATTGCATCATTGAAAAGCCAAGTAGAAAGACTAGAGAAAAAGACTTTAACTACCAGCCAAAGTCCTGATAATCTTGAGCAATTGTCAGGTAATGGACTCTTAGATAGTGATGGCGCTTGCTCAAACTCTGCTAGTCAAGACAGTTCAAATGGGCCAGTCACACACAGTCGTCCGACAAACAAAGAACTATTTTCAGGGTGTCAGGAAGTTCTCCTGGATATAGCTGCTACAAATATGGATGCCTGCTTAGAACCACAGTGGGATAAAGGTGAGGATTGTGCACCATATAAAGATGAAGAACTTTATGAGCTTCCAGCACCATGTACACCTTCTTTGTCTCTCAGTTGTCTCCAGTTGAACACCCCTGATATCAAAGAGAGTCCTCTCGTAAAACAAGAGAGTACGGGGAAGCCATCTGCCTTTCTAAGGAAACTGGAGTTTGATGATTTTTGTGACACTTCAGATGATTGCAACAAAGATTCTCCAGAACATAGTGCAAGCCCCTGCAACAGCCAGAAGAAGGTGACTTGTTTTACTTCAGCAAAGCCAGTGTTTTGGAATAGCTGCTCAACAAACTATGCTGAGAACTTAGATTTTGAAGGTTCAGAGCAAAACGCAATTACTAGTCATTCAGGAGAGCCATCGGCAAAGTCCAGCGATAAGCATGAACTTCTTTTATCTAAAAGATTACATACTATCCGCTCTTCAGAAATGAACCGCACAAGAACGTCCAGTGAAGCATCCATGGATGCTGCTTACCTTGATAAAATTTCTGAGCTGGACTCCATGATGTCCGAATCTGACAATAGCAAGAGTCCCTACTACAACTTTAAGTCCTCTGAGCTTGAGAATCCTTCAAAGTCAACACAGTGTTCTGAACTCCTGAATGAATCAGATAAGAAGCTGGAAGAAAGGAACAAACAAAACAGTGTAAAATGTCCTGAATCAAGTGAGCAATTGGTAGATTGGAAACCTGCTACATTTTCAATCCTCTCTCCATCTGGACTAGAGATGAATGAACGCTTCCCATTGTTTTCAGGCCAAAATTCAGAAACTAGCGAAATCAAACCTCAGAACTGTTTATTTCAAAGAGAGTTTTCCCAAAGTTTTCTTTTCAGTAACTCGCAAAGGCTATTTGAAGAACAAAAGTTGGGTTCCTCTATTTTTAAGGTGTCATCTGAGATTCATAATCTTCACAACCAACTTCAGTCTCCTTGGGCTTCTTCCTTTATTCCTGAAAAGAAACATAAGAGTGTCAATCAGTCGACCAAAAGAAAAATTCAAAGCAGCCTTTCTAGTGCTAGTCCCTCAAAAACTACTAAAAACTAACTCTTGTTGAATTGAAGTTAGTAGTCTTAGTGCCAACATGGGAACATTTAAAAATGCCCAAGTGAACTTGATTTCTGGTGAGTTCCATGTGACCTGATTCTGTCTCTTTTGAAAGCTGAATGTTCTCTCAGCACCTCAAATTGTTTCACTTAGAGAAGAACCATTCAGAGCTTTCTTCTTTGATAGAAGGTTTTGTTTTGTAAATTCTTACTTTTTTTTTTTTTTTTTTTTTTTTAAATTGTCAGGTTATGTGAAGTTCTCTTTGAGCAGCAGTTATGTCCTCCTTGAATATGACCAATTTTAAATGTTCTTGTTAAGCCAGCCCTTTATATGGGAAAGAACTTGCTTTTAAAAGTTTAATTTCCTATGCTACACGGTGATAATTCTTGTAACGCTGCTACTGGTAATAATTGTTCACTTGCCATAAAACACTGTAAATTCTTGTTGTAAAACTTTACTTCCTGAGGAAACTGCTACTGCTGCTTAGACCTATTTGCATGGCACTATTCTATACTGAAACTGTAGTTAAAGTGTGTATATAATGTAGCAGCCTCTCTCGTTTCAGTGTTTCAGCATTTCAGTTAGAAAACCTCTCATCTTCCTTAAGACTGAAAACATGGCTTTTTTTTTTTTTTTTTTTTTTGAAGTTAAGCACAATTTTTAATTTAGTTTCCACAAAGCATTGTTATTCAGAACATGTTCAGTACGCCTGTGTAGACCATAAAAATGGGTTTGTATGCTAATGACTTGTTTACCTAATGTGCACTGAACATTTTACATTAATACTGTACTGTTTTACATTAATACTGCATGCTTTTCTATGTGAATTGAATAAAAGATGTCATAAGCACTATAATCTTTGATGTTGCCTCAGATATTGGACTAGCACAGGAAGAATTGGAAAAGTTTCCTTTTTTTTTATAATTTTGAAAACTGTAAAACTTTTTTATAAGACTTAGATTACAATTTTTGAATAAATTCACATTATCTTCCCCCTCCCTGTTGGATGCATTGCCATTCTGGTGTCAGCGTCAATGCAGTTGGTGGAAATCGGTTTCAGCCTTTCTGGAGGTGACTTTTCCGTTAAGTACTGAATAGGTCAACATAATCTGATTTGCTACAGAAAGGAGACCAATTAAGCAGCAAAGCAAGATTGGTCTCTTTGCATTACGATGTACTTTATTGTGTTTAAAATTAAATATGCTTTTTATCTTAGACATGGAATTGTCATTCTAAACGGACCCCATGATGGCATTTCTTACAAATGGGCAGATTATGTCTATCGATGGATCAAGGACAAGAAATCCATAAACTGTCTTTAGCCCACCTGATTAGAGGGATATACAGCTGGAAACTCTTTGGACTAACACTATAATAAAAATATTGTAGTTCTGTCAACAATTGGACCTAGAATATATTTTGCATTTTCTATGAATATGTTCAGCAACAAGTGTGGCTTTACTTCTGTACAAATATCTGTTCCAAAATGGTCACCAATGCCACAAACACAATATCCCAGCCGCAACTACAAGCCCCAGTACCAGACACCAACCTATTCCATAGCACCTCTTACTGTAGCTGATGCTGGGTCAATCCTCCAAGAAAAGGAATGTTGGTCAATGTACAATCTTAACTTATACTGTTCAAAAATTAAGGGGCCATCCTGTTCTGGACACTAATTCAGGCTGTCCCTAGTTAATTAGGTAAATCACAGGATTACTTTGTGTTAGCACTTTTTTCAGAGACCATTATTTACCTTCTGTTTAAAATAACATTGCACTGATAGTAAATCATGCAAGCACACATGCAATTGTCAAATGCTGGGGTTAATTTTTATTTTGATTCTTTGTAGTTGTATGACCAAGCTCTTGGGTCTTTGAAATGTAAATTTTGCATGTTTTACACTTCATAATCATTCAGTTTGTTTTACACCATGTCATTTTTAACTTTCGTTGATAGGGTTAAGTAACAACATGAATGGTTGCTGGTGTCTTATCTAAATTCAAGTCAGAATATATGAAAATATTATATTTATTGTGTGAGTAATCCTGGTGATTTTTAAGCAGCATTTTTGATAGACATTGTTTAGTTTTAGTCACGCAAATGGAAAAGACGTTAAGAACTAAAAAAAGCGGTAAATGGGCAAAGGTTTAAACTTGTATCCCTTTCTGTCTTCTCAGCCTCTTATACTCTTCAAACTGAAGTACATGCTTAACTTTTATGCACTTAGTAATCCTAGGGTATGTCTGCAGTGCAATTAAACTCCCACTGCTGGCCCCTGTTTACCTGTGATGTAGACGTTTGCGCTCAGGATAGAGCCTGGGCTCAGCTTGTCTTTCTCACCAACAGAGGTTGGTCCAATAAAAGATATTACTTCACCCTCCTTGTCTCTGTAAAACACCTAACACACTTAAGGGTGCTATATGGATGGCAGGAGATAGATCACTTGCTCATTACCTGTTAGCTTCACTCCTTCTGGGGCACCTGGCATTGGCCACTGTCGGTAGACAGGATACTGGGCTAGATGGACCTTTGGTCTGACCCAGTACGGCCGTTCTTATGTTATGTTCTTATATCAATAAATAGTAATATGTAAGCCACTCCTTTTGATTTAAAGTTTACAGAAAGGATTGGTGACATGTACAGCCTATACATTAAATCACATACGGTGAAACAACTTTTTCAATAGTTAAAAAAGAAAACCCATAAAATGTGTTAGTTGTTTATAGGTTTTGTATTCTTCAGGCTTTTTATTGCTCCTCTCATCCAATCTTTGGCTATATTTAATGTTTTTCACAAATAAATGTATTTAAATACAAGTTAATCTTTGTTAAACTGTTCTTACATATAGTTATGTAAGAACATGTAGTGTCTCTCTCTTTTACAAGATCTGATACAAATTAAACTGTTGCAGGCTTTGATCTAATAACAAGAAATAGACAGCCGGCCTGAAGCTTACTAAGAAAATATTCTTTCTCAAGTTCTACACAGTTTTTTCTAAGTCCGGCTAGGTCCTGCTGAAACAGGCTCCATTAAAATATTTAATTCTGCTGTGTACAACAGCGGTCAGTAAATAGGCAGTTACAAGTAAACTTACTATGTGGGTTAGCTTATTGCACAAGATATGTAATTTCCCTTTTCCTCTCCTGGTGTATAGACCATACATGGCAATATGGTCTTCAGAGAAGAGGTGACCAGAGAGCATCATTAGCACCAATCCTTTCCCTAGTCAACATAAGGAGAAACCTACTTCCTCCCTCTTTGTTCAAAAGTGAATGCCACCTGTACCCTAAGGGAACCTGGTTTTACTGCTACTCATTACTAAATCAAAGCTGTACATTGACTCCTGCCATTAACTATGTCCTGCTACTGAGGGAAGCTCTCTCTCCAAGGTTTTTTTCATTTTTTTTGTTTTGTTTAATTTTGCAAGTGTTTGGCTTATAAAATAAGATTCTTTAAAAGAATTTGTACCAGTCAAAGTAGTAGATTAAAAGATGGTGTTGGCTGGGGGTGAGAGTTGCCCAACTGGCTTCTTAACATTAGGATCAAAAGTGCAGCCCTCAAATATCTGCTATGTTCCCAGAAGCACTTTAGAACACCTGCACCGATGATCTTAGTGAAGCCTTGCAGGGTGTGATGTGTTAGAAACTTGGTGACCTAAGCTACTCCATGTAGGGCTGTGACTTCAATGTAAAATAAAAACAGAGAACTTCACGGGCAAGGTTCCAACTCTCCTTCTCTTGGCCTACATACTGTTATAGGCCTGTGCAAAAGAGTGAGTACACTAATATACAGTACAAGTGATGTAATTCAAACAGTTGGTTTAATAAATTTTAGTTTTCTCTCTGCTGTTGTGGTGGTTGTATCAAGCCCTTCACTTGAATACATTTTACAGACAGCTCTTCAGATGAAGAGTTTTAGTGATGGGAGGGGAGAAAGAGCTAGGAAAGACCTGTGTGTGTGAGAGAGGGTTGGGTAGGGTGGAAAAGGGAGGGGGTAGGGAGAGAGGTGCTGGAAGAGAGCAACCCCAGAGAAGCAAATTAAGTTTGAGAATTATTTTTAGGATTCTGGTATCTCCTACTTTAACAGGTTGCTTTCACGTGGTTGTGTACCTAGCAAATACCAGAATACTTAGGGAGCACAGCAGATTTTATATATATAAATAGGACAATCAAATGTCAATTGTAATAACTTCCTATTAGCTTAAGATGAGGGCAGTGTTTCCCTTTTTTTGCATAACCCCTGGGCTAGAATGAAGAGAGAGGAGTCTGGTTCACTTTTATTTCTAGTCAGTTTCATTTTTACACACATCTTAGTGCCTCAGTCTGGGTTACAGCCCGGCAAGAAATTAGTTTGTTTTTTTTAATTCCCTTAGAACTGCAAGGCCAAAAGTTTTGGTAATATTTTCCAATGAGCTTAAATTGTGTAAAAGCATAATTTTAAATAAGCCCTTTTAAATGTGCCCCCAAAATTACAGGGGTGTTTCTTTTGAGAGAACTAACAGGGATCAAGGGTGAGTGGAGGTAGGGCCAAATCTCTCTGTCTTTTTAATAGTATTCCCCCTTTCCTTGTGTACTATCCCTGGTATTTAGTTTCCCCCTTCAAAACAGGACATTTGGACAGAAGGAAGAAAGAAAATATCCATTTGTATATGGGTAGGATCTTTCCGCTTAGTGTGTTCTGCCCCAGTTTATGCAAAGCTGGGCTAGCTGTAGCCTTGGACTAGTCTGGAGTCGATTATTTCATCAGCACTCAGGCAAAGACGAAGGAGTTCCTTTATTTTCCATCCCCATCCCCAAATCAACAATGTCACAAGCCAGCCCAGCTGTCTACACGGTATAGTCCCGCCATGTCTAGGTTTGGGCCGAAAATTACACTCTTCACCCCTTGTATTTCCAGTAAACTTCCCTCTCTGTGGTGCTTTCACTGACTCAATGAGACCTCAGTTCTTTCGCCTCTGGTCCCCATCCCTTCCCAGCCTCATGAGCAGCACAGAAACCCTTTTTTTTTTTAAAACTGCTAACAAAACCTGGTGATTAAGACACGAAACTAACAAAGAGTTTTTCTTCCACCTTAACCTTGCACACAAACCTTTAACAAATTAATTAATCCTAATGAATTAACACTTCATTTATTTAAACGCGCTCCAGTTCATGAATTAAATTTTCATGCAGTGATTAAAGGCTGTTAAAATATGCATGATTTCGTTAAAATTTTATAATAAATCAGGGCAATGTGTTACATGACAAGGCAACTATTTCCCAGCCCCTCGGAACGTGCTTTGATTTGTGCAGAGACTGGGAGGCGAGCGCATCGCTCTGTATTTTGGCAATTGAACAGATCTCAGAGCGCCTTTAGATTTAACTTCTGATCGACCTTCTCCCCCTCTACAAGCCCCTCTCTGAGTCGTTTCTTATGTAAGGAAACCAGTAGCTAAGGGATAGACACGGTAGGGATGCTGTAAGGCAGCGCAACCTAAGGGAGATGAAGCAGACAGTGTTCAATTGTCTGTTTGCATTATATATGTCTACGTAATATATATATATAAAATCAGCAATACATTGACCGATGGTTCTTAAATGATGCTGAAGCGTAATGTGATCTGGAGGCTTTTATGCTGCAGGCCCT